TGATGGGATGAAGAGAGATATTCTGATTTCTGCATGGGAATTCATTTAATTCTAAATAAAACACATTTCTAAGCAAAATATAGAATGCTTTGAAAACCAGAGAATTTAATTAATTACCAAGAAGAAAATTCTAATACATTCATCCACATCTATGTAACACACAATTAATATATTTACTATTTTCTAAATTTGTAGATAAAATGGTCCTTTCAAAATTCTTTGGTGACCCACTTCATTGATAGTCATTTTTTTTCTTTTCTACATTAGTATTTACTAATTAGTGTTTATTAATTAATTTATGTATTAAGTAAAATGCTTCCAAAATAGACCGAGCTCTTTTTAGATAGGCTCATTTGCAGTATGGAAAAAAATTTTTTTGAAAAAAAGCAAATTTCCCTGGAGTCTTAGTGCATTTTTTAATCAAATTTCCAAAGACAAATTCTGACTAGACCCCTTAAAACACCTGCACAGTGGAACCTACGCCCATACCCCCTCGCAGGGCGGGAGCCACGCAGCGGACGCGCCTCCCTGGCGGAGCCTGAAGCCCTTGGCCCCGCGTTAGAACCAGGTCAGGTGCATAAGACGCCCCTTCCTCTGGGCGCATGCTCATCATGACTTGATTTTCCAGTTAACGGAAAAGTTGATTTAAAATGTTTGTCTCTTCTGTCCCCTATGCTTCTGAGTGTGCCTTTGACCAGGGTTAGTCATTTCAAAACCCAAAAAGCGCCCCGTGTGGCTGACTTCCCTCCGGCCGACTCTCAGTGGTGCCCACAGAGCCCGCCTCTGGGCCCGGCGGGTCGGGAGCTCCGCGGCCTCCCGGCCCCCCATCACCCCATCGGGCCTGTTAGCCAGACGCAGACTCTGGAGACATCCCCCTAACACACTTTCAGAGTGGCTTTCACCACAAACGTTCCCATTTCACGTTATAGTGTTCTAGAATTGATCTATCTACCTGGGAAAGGCTGGCAAACATCGGTAAACCGATAGGTGTTCCTGGTTACCGACCATGTTGACGCATTTTCAGGGAATTCTGACAAATTAAAAGGTTTTGGCTTCTGTTAAATGAGAGCCATTGAAATGTACCCTAAGACAGGAAATTTCCCTTAAATATAGTGTTTTCTAATAATGGGTGTAGACATGCCCAGATAGTTCAAAGGAAAATTTATGATAAAAAATTTGGATTTAGAACTCTGAGTAAAGTATTCCCTCTAAACTGTGTGTGTGTGTGTGTGTGTGCTGTGTGCTATGTGTGGTGTGTGATGTGTGATGTGTGTGATGTGCGCTGTGTGCTATGTGTGTGTGAAATGCCTGTGTGGTGTGTGATGTATGATGTGTGCTGTGTGTGTGATGTGTGGTGTGTGTGATATGTGGTGTGGGATGTGTGCTGTGAGTGTGTGAAATGTATGTGTGGTGTGTGTGGTGTGTGACGTATGATGTGTGCTGTGTGTGTGTGTGTGTGTGTGTGTGTGTATGTGTGTTCTAGGGTTCTAGGTGGAGAGAGGAAGGGAAATGAGGGAAAGTCTTCAAACAGCGGTGGTGTCTCCTCGCCTTCCTGGCTCCTGTCCTCAGGGCTGGAAGCTCCAGATGGGGAAGACCTCTGATGTTAAGAAAATTTCAGTTTTTTTAAAATGACTTCACAACCTACTTAACCAAAGAAAAACATATATTCTCCTTAAACTTTTCTTTGGAAATCATTTACCTTAATCATTTCTTCTTTTTATTCTTCACCAGAGGCCCAGTGCATGAAATTCGTGCAGGGGAGCCAGGGAAGGCTCAGAACCCAGCCTGCACCCTCTCCAATCCAGGACCCCTTGGGGGATGTCCGACTACCAGTTTAGGCCCAATCCCTGGGCCTAAACCAGCAGTCAGACATCCCTCTCACAATCCTGCACTGCTGGCTCCTAATCGCTCCTGCCTGCCTGCCTGCTTGCCCCTAACTGTCTCCCCTGCCATCCTGATTGCCCCTAACTAACCCCATGGTGGTCAGTCACCCCCAACTGACCCTCCCTGCCGGCCTAGTTGCCCCTAACTGCCCCTCCCCACTGCTCTAGCTGCCCCTCACTACTCCCACCAGCCTAATCGCCCCAATTGCCCCCACTGCCAGTCTGGTTGCCTCCAACTGCACCTCCTCCTCACTGACCTGGTCATCCCTAACTGCCCCCCTTACTGGCCTGGTTAGCCCCAACTGTCCCCTCACCAGCTTGGTCACCCTCACAGCCCCCTGCTGACCTGGTTGCCCTACACGCCCTGCTTGTTCAATTATTTGGTTATCCCTCACTAACCTCCCTACCAGCCTGGTTTTAGGCAGCCATCTTGTGAGTGTGTGATGGTCAATTTGCATAGTACCTTTTTATTATATAAGATTGTTGAAAGTATTATATATGTCCCCTTTTCCCCTGTTGTCCTCTCCCAGCCTGCCTCCACCACCAGCCCCTCCTCCATTGTCTGTATCCATTGGTTATGCTTATATGCACACACGTTCTTTGGTTGCTCTCTTCCCACACAACTCCCCCTATCCCCAAATCCTCCCTGCCTTCCCTCTGAGTCTGAAGGTCTGTTTAATGCTTCTGTGTCTCTGGATCTATTTTTGTTCATCAGTTTATGTTGTTCATTATATTCCACAAATGAGTGAGGTCATATGATACTTATCCTTCTCTGACTGGCTTATTTCACTTAGGGTAAAACTCTGCAAGTCTATCCATGCTGTTCCAGAGGCAGCAAAATATTAGATATAGCTTATAGCAATATCTTTACCAACACATCTCCTAGGACAAAGGAAACTAAGGAGAAAATAAACAAATGGGTCAACATCAAAATAAAAAGCTTCTGCACAGCAAAAGAAACCATCAACAAAATGAAAAGGGAGCCCACTGCATGGGAGGACATATTCATCATTTCTGAAAAAGAGTCATCATGCCCACTTTCTGACCATAGACATTTAAGCCTACAGCATCAATCCATACAATGATTTGGTGGTAAAATAATACACATTTATGGCACACTTGGGTCTGAAATCATGTGCAATGCAATCAGGTATTTTGTTTGTTTGTTTGTTTTTCTTTATGTTTTGTGTTTTGGGTGAGTTGCTAATGATAATTTTATATAATAAAAGCATAGGTGGCATCACAAGATGGCGGCAAGGGAGGGCAGTTGTGGGTGATCAGGCCTACAACGGAGGGCAGTTGGGGGGGACCAGACCTGTATGGGAGGGCATTTGGGGGCAACCAGGCCTGAAGGGAGGACAGCTGGGGGGAACTGGGCCAGTAGGGGAGGGCAGTTGGGTGCCATTGGGCTGGCAGGAGAAGGCAGTTGGTGGTGATCTGGCCAGCAGGGGAGCAGTTAGGTGTCAATTAGTCTGGCAGGGGAACAGTTAGGGGGTGATCAGGCTGTCAGGTAGAAGCAGTTAGGGGCAATCAGGCAGGCAGGCAGCCAAGCAAGTGGTTAGGATCCAGCAGTCTTAATTGTGAGAGGGATGTCCCAGATTGGAGAGTGTGCAGGCTGGACTGAGGAACACCCCCTCTCATGCACAAATTTCATACACTGGGCCTCTAGTCTATAATAGTAAAAGGTAATATGTTAATTAAACCAGATGTCGTCTGGACATCACTCTGGATATCCTTCCTGACAACGCTGGGGCCAGGGGAGAAGCAGCCCAGGTCCCGGGTGCTGGAGGGAAGCCGGTGCCAGCAGCCAGGGGAAGGAAGGCCTACACATGCACGAAATTTCATCCATCAGGCCTCTACTTAGTATATTTTTTTATAAAAAATATAGAAGTCTGTGATTAGAGAAGTCTTCTCTAAATCAAACACTTCCTTTTATTCAACCCTTTTACTTCCTGAACAGACAGGTTGGGGTGAAGGATGAGCTGTTGACCTGAAAACTGCTCCTAAACCTCAGCCAATCCTCTCTTTGGCAAAATGAGGATTGCAAATGACAGAAACACCCTCTGTCTAACGTAAAACAGGAAATAAGAAGGGCAGATGGTCGTGGAGTTGAAGGAAAGCTGGAGTGCAGAGTGATGACGGGGGAAGGGCATGCAATAAGAGCAGAGCCACAGTTGTCTAACAATTCTTCACCTTACCAGCCACAGACAGGACCCTGGGACACTGGAGGATGAGATGGGGCTATAAAAGGTAAGATGCCTCGATGGTTCCATGACTCAGAAAAGAAACACATTTTGAGAAAAGACCAAGGACAGGACTCGCTCTGATTTGGTTGCTGTGCTGGACCCTGACCCCTTCCAGGAGTTTTCTTCAGGAGCCTGACCATCCTCTGGTCCCAGGAAGGATGTATGAGCTTTGTTACATCACAGGAGATTGGCCGCCTGGTTATTGGACTTGGTGCTCCTGAAGGCCGGACTGCAGACCCTCCCCGCCCTTCCCCATGTCCCACTCTCGCTGGCAGCTGCATGTCGCTATCTTCTCCCTCGTGTGTATAATCACCAACTGGCAAGGAGTGGGGAGGTCAGAGCAGAATTTCCAGGGTGACAGACTGCTCTCCCCACCCTGCCGCATTATTGGAATAAATACAGGATCCCCCTGTCTGCCCAGCTCCGCTCAGGCAGTGGCAGAAGGCCTCAGACCACTGTGCCGGTTGCAGTGGGAGAGGCAGGGCCGGGCCCCAGGGGGAGGGGACGGGCTGCAGTGCAGTCGGGGCAGCACCTCCACCTCCACCGCTGGGGTGATGAGGCCGCCCTGCTTCTTTCTCTGCTGTGCCCCCCTCACCCACCCCCGACCCTCGCTGCTATATCCTCTCCCCAGATCAGGAGGAAGAGCAACCTGGAAATGGAGGCTTGTCCTGCTGCTCAGATAAGCAAACAGGGCAAGCCCCCTCTCGGATGATACTCCAGGTTAAATGATAAAAACGCAGAGGGACCTGTTTTGGTCAAACCTTATGTGGCCGTGTTTTGGCTACAACCTTTAGCCTCTTTGTACCTCCAGTTTCTTGCCTGCGAAATTAACTTAGTAGTTTTCGTGACCCCTACGGCCTCTGTGTGTTTCAGAATCTCATGTCTTTACTTGACTAGCACTAGAATCAGAAGGGCTGCCCACACACAGTTCCCACCCACAGCTTTCCACAGGATTTGACATACAGCAGGCATCTACTCATTTACTGAAGTGAGTATGTAAAGCAGAGTTTGCCATTCAGAGCACAATTTGCAAAATCACAAAGACATAATTTTCTGATCAGATTCCCTGTTGGCAGCAATGATTGATTATTGCCAATAGGACAAAGATAAAACAGGCTTGCACTTTAGGGATGTTTAACCTTTCCAAATGGTTGAAGGGTTTCAGGGTCCCTAGCTGCTTTATAATACCCTTAAATATTAAAATGCTGCTTGAAATTATCTTATTTCCATGAGCTCAGAATACGGAAGCCAAGGGTACATACATGGTCTGCAACTTTTGTCAGGCCAGGATTAGTTTTGTTAGGAAAAAGACCTTCCAAATATCACACTACTTCAAAAATATATCATTTTTCTATACCCTTCCTCTATATTACTCAAATCTCCAGAAATAAATATCAATTCTCCATGTCGCACGCACACAGACACACACACAGGCAACATTCATGTGTAAATTTTTGTTTTGTTTAATTTTATTCAGTTTTCTTCCCCATTCTCTAGCAATGAATGCTATTATCCTATGTCATCTCAAGTAATATATGGGAGACTACCTGACTATAATTTACTGGGCAAGTGAATGAAAAATGCTTTCATTTACATGATTAAAATTTAATTAACATTGTTAATTAACATTGATTTTTTAAACTTTTTCCACTGAAGTGTAACACTTAACATTGACCTTACCTTTTAAAATAAAAGCGAGGTGTTAAGAAAGCCCAGGGAAATTGATGATTGATAACATGTGTTATGATCTAGCTCCTGTGACCTGGGTGGAAGTTACGAAGTAATGTTCATTGTACCATATAAACCCTAATGATGGTTAATGTTAGCTAATTAAGATGAACGCTGAATTGAGCCAGCCTTGCTCATGGGTGTATCAATATCTTATTACAGTCTAACAAAATATTATTTTAGTCAAAACCATATATAGTGAATCAATTTAGAGTCTCACTAAGAAATACATTTTGAATCAAATTAGACATTAAAACCACATTTTAATCTTTGTTGCCAACAGAGATAATATTAAACACCTTCTTAAATGTAATGTTATACCATGTGGTTTTTCTTTGTTTCATTTCATGTTGAATCTGAAACATAGACGCTGTGTTTGTATATTATCACGTAAGAAATCATGAATATTTGCCACTCCTAATTTTTAAAATATCAAGTGTATGCTTCTCATTAATCTATCTGAGTTCTTACAAATGCGCCTAGGTAACTCGAAACAGCCATTTCTACTGGCTACTGAAAACATCCGACTTCCACATCTGTCACGACCTTCATTCATTTCCTTCTTCCCCAGTACAATGTCTCCGGAATACGTACATTTACCCTGACATGCTGGTGTGTCCTCACCACGTGGTTTTGACTCTCTGGGCTACCATGTGTTTGTGCTAAAGATAAGGGGATTAAGATACCTAAAATAGTTAATTTCTTATAAGTTTTGGTCGTTTGTTTAATATTTGAATGCCTTACTATGACAGTGGGCACTGAGGATGTATACCTGAAGAAAGGTAACATCTAATGAGAAATACTTTAATACCCACAGTGTACTTAGTTGATCAAACCTAGAATGGCTCCTCAGATAGGGCAACAGTCACTGATGGTCATGAACTCATCCCAGATGAAACCAAAAGGCCCATGTGTCTGTGGAAAGACAGTTGGTTTGGAATGGAAAAGACTCACATGATGTCTGTGTGCCACTCACTGGCCAGGTGGGTTAGTTCTGTGCCTTCTAGAGAAGAAGATGAGGATGAGGATGAGGATGAGGATGAGGATCCTGTGCCTGGAGCTGAGAGCTGGCACGCCTGAGAAACATGGATGGCATGAAGGTCCACAAGAACTTCCAGCTTCCCTGTGCAAGCTTCAGACCTGGGAATAACTAATTCCCAGGCAGGGCTTTGCATACAGATAAATGGTTTGAGCAGTATTTTAAAATGGTACTATTAGATTATAAGCAAACAAAGATGTAAAATAGAGTGCAGTGTCTCTGGGGAACTTGGGGGCAAGAAACATTGGTTTGCTGAGATCCTCCCTAACTTCCGGGTGAGACCCCAGCCCTCAGGCACTGTCCCTGTGGGATGAGGACTCAGGTAGGAAGGACTGCTGATTTGGAGTCCTGCCCTGTCCCACCCTCTGTGCATAGTACACATGCAAACACACACACACACACACACACACACACACACGCACATTCTGTCTGTTCATTGCTCTGTATCCAGAGCTTATAATAGTGTCTGCACAGTAGAAACTCAATTATATGCTGAACTAATAAATAAATACACTCACTTTTATGTGGAAGGTATTTGGTGGTTCCCTTTATTTCGAAATATAGAGGCACAAGAAGTTTTTAGAGGGTTGAAATAAAATATCAATACTTGTGATGATGCCATTACTATCTGCATAAATATATTGCTACAGAAGCCTTCCCATGGTAATTTGCTAACATCTCTTCAGACCTTCAGATGGAACATACCATATTATTCACAGCATAATTCAACTCTAAAGAAATAGATACAAGCATATATACATGTATTTCCTAGATGTGTATAAATATAAAAAAAAGACTGGAAGGATGTATTCCAGAACATTAACAGTAGTCATAGTGTTGGATTTGAGGGATGAGATTTCAGAGGGCTTTTATCTTATCTTGTTTTATTTTTCATTTCCTTTTTTTCTGTCTTTTCTAAATTTTATACAATGAATTGTTGAAGAATATTTCCAGCGTATCTACGGTTGTGGCTGGTTTCCATGACTCCCATCTCTGAGACATGGGGCCTGTTCCTCAGCGGCGCCCAGGCTGCGGCTGCTTTTCTCATCTCTGGACACACGGCCTCTCCGAGCTCACACCCTGCGCTGGCTCACGCCGGAGTGACTGGCAGTGAGTGGAAATTAAAAACACTGGTTGGCATTAAAGGTCACTGCTTTATTAGAATTATTCATTCAAATACAATTAACTCACCCTGCTGGGGGGAGCGGGGGAAGGGAGTGGGGCAGATTTTACTCCAGGGAGAAGGAAGATCTAAACCTTTCTCCTATTTGAATTTTTTTCTTTCAACAACTTTATAGGCATGGCAGCTTGAAACAAAGGAAAGCCATAGAGTGGGAAGGCGTTTCCTTTGATACATGTGAGGGAGGGTTAAGTTCCTTATTTTGAGCAGGGAATGTGGTTTGAAACAAGTAGGGTCTTAGGAAACCTCGCTCAAATAGTGATCCCATTACCCAGCGGGCCTCTCAGCACCGGACTGGAATGTCAGTCAATGCCCGGATACAAACACTTCTTTCACAGGCCACCAGGGTTAGTAAGAGACAATTCTTCTGGCGTAATGGAAGAGGTTGAGATTGAGGGTGAGTCTGAGCAAAGAAAGCAAGAAGGTCTGGGAAACTGGTACCTCACACACCGGCAGCAGGCCAGGGGATCGCTGTCACCAAGCCCGTGTCCGTGTGCCGAGTTCATGGATGTTGGGCAGCTTGGTCTGAAGGTTATTACTCCTGCAGCTTGGTTTGCAGGTTATAATTTCATTCTTTGGAACCAATGACTCCAAAGGGATGAAACTTTCAGAGCTCAAAGCCTTCTGATATCCTGAAGATGTATCAAATGAGACTCACCATTGTTTCTACACTTGGCTTGGAAATAACAATCACATGCACCCCATTTTCCTTGGAGTTCTTTTGTTTTGTTTTGCTTTATTTTGTTTGTTTAAAGCTTTTACCGCTTCTTTCTAGTCCTAAGACCACAGCAAAGTTCACAGAGAAACAGATTTCCTGTGTAATTACAAATAATCAGGAGGTGATGTGTGTTTTGCTTCCTCCTAGCATGAAGCACTGCGGTCAGGTGGAGAGTGGTGTCAAATACACAACGTCACTGTTTTGAATCTTTTAAAGGCCGAGGCGCCAGATAAAGCAGCGGCCTCCTGCACACAATATTCCCTGTGTCTACCTGTCATGATTGATGACAAGTCAAAACACTCCCTGCTTACTCAGCCTCCATGAGACCGTGGTGGTCAGAGTTGGCGTGGGTCTGAATGTTAGGCAAATAAGGGCCAAAGACACGTAAAGGTAGAGCTGTTTTCCAAACAATGGCATGTTTCCTTTCCATACCGTGTAGGGTCAACATTAAAGATGAAATTCACGACCAGTTTGCCCACGCAGAAGGCTTCAGTTTCTTCACTTTATGGCTTTCCAAAGGAGTCGCTAATCTATACCGGCTCCACTTTATGTGGTCTAAGGTGGGGTTTCTCGGGCAGCATACTGACATTCGGGGCTAGTTATTCTTTGTTGCGGGGACTGTCCTGGCCATTGTAGATGTCTACCAGCCTCTGTGGGCTCTACACGCTGGGTGCCAAGAGAATCCCCTACGTTATGACACCTGAAGTGTCTCTGGGCATTACCAAGTGTCTTTGAGGGGCAGAAGAGCCCTATTTGAGAGCCATTGATCTGATGTCTTGAATCTATAATAATAAAAGTGTAATATGCTAATTAGACCAGACATCCTTCCAGGCGACCTTCTGGACAAAGCCATGGTGGCAGGGGCTGAGCCAGAAGCAAACACTGGTGGCAGGGGCCGAGCTCCTGCATGAATTTCTTGCATGGAGGAGAAAAGGTTTCAGCACCGGGTAAACACAACCCACAAAGATGTGTCTTATGTCATTCATGTTAAAAAATTGCAACAGCAACTTACATGTCGCCAACAAAAATGATGATTTTGAATAAATGAAATTTAATTTTTATTTTTTTATTTTTTAAAATATATTTCAGTGATTTTTAATTGATTTTTCACAGAGAGGAAGAGAGAGATAGAGAGTTAGAAACATCAATGAGAGAGAATCATTGATCAGCTGCCTCTTGCACACCCCCTACTGGAGATGTGCCTGCAACCAAGGTACATGCCCTTGACCAGAATCGAACCTGGGACCTTTCAGTCCACAGGCCGACGCTCTCTCCACTGAGCCAAACCGGTTTCGGCTGAAATTTAATTTTGATCATTATATTAAAAAACAAAAACAAAACAATCCTGTGAGTTGGAGTGAGGGGCTTGCGTCCTCCAAAGGTGCAGTCCAGTGCTCTCTCGGTCCGCGCAGGGCCCCATGGTGAACTGAGAGGCCATTGTCTTCCACTTTCCCTCAGGAAATCTGCACCAGCGCAATGGGAAAGCACAGTGAGGTCATTTTTTCTTTCTGACTAAATCATCCCCTGAGAAATTTCAGTCATTTCCTTATCCCACTCTAGTTTATCCGTGGCCTTTCCTGGAGCACATTTACAAAATTCCTCACATATTCATCTTCATTGGCACTTCTGCTGCTATAATGAGGCATTTGTTATAAACATTAGTGACCATAATCAGATTTTCATTTGAAACCTTATATTGGCAAACTTATGTAGGAAAGAGTGAAACTGCAGACAGCATTACTGAAGAAACAGTTAATACAATTTAAATAAAAAGGTTTATGGCCAATTTCAACTCATTTGGTGAATTGTAATTATGTGATTACCTATAGATCCTCCATAGTATGGCATTTGAAAGATCAAAGTTAGTGAAAAGTCAGCATGTAATTAGTTTCTTGCTTTGGAGCATTAGGTAGAATTACTGCAAAGAGGCAAAACTATCATTTTATAGAGACCCTTAGGAGATTTATAATGATGGTAGACAAATATATGCATACAATATCAGCTGGTGTGCTAAAATTTAATTTTCATGAGAAAATGTGGTTGAAGATGATCACAATACATGGGGATGTTCTTATTTTAATATTGGTGGATGTTATTATTAGAGAATCATATCAAAAGATATGTCACCAGGGAGAAAATATCATTTATAAATCACTAATGAGTAGCAAACAGTGTTTAGCTTGGAGGGATGAGGCATCTTTTTACAATGTGCATTTATGATCAAACACAGAAGATCAAGTGCACAGAGAATAGTACATCCACTCTTTATCTCACTCTCTGCTAGGGAATAGTTTTCTATAGTTTGAGTTTCTCTGCCTATATTGCATTTCCTTCTCCTCAGAGAGGATTCTGCAATTAGCAGAATGTGATTTGTATTTGAAACTTAGCTATTAAGATAACATATGATTGTACAGATTAACTATTGTATACATTTTATTTATGTCCTCAAAGTAAAACATGTTTATCTAGGAGAGCACACCAGGAAATCTCATGGCTGACAGCATACATCCTCTGGGGTTTGGTTAAGATTGCTTGCTTTTCAACATAAGATGAATTTAAATAGTTCTCAAACCATATTGTTTGGGCCTCCAATGGCCCATTTTTTCAGTATATTAGAGTAAATCTAAGATTATTTTCTAAGGAAAAGCTTAGTCACGGTCCCAGGTAAGCCTAGGCTTGACTACCTCTGAGTGGCAGCTGAGCTGTGGGAGGAAATTGGAGAACGTTAACACGCCTTTTTTCATAAGAAGATATCTGTCCTTTGTCCTCAGTTGAACAGACCACTAACACTTTTATTTCCAACCATAGCCAAAACTCAGGCAAACCACTATCAAGTCCAATAATAATCTTGAACCATTATTAAATAGTACATATATGGTGCGTCCATTTTCTTCTGGAACATCCCATTCTTACCACTACCTGAAGCCACCCCCTTCTTCAGGGCAATAGCATCTGACTGCTAAGTACAGTGGTCAGCGAGGGCCTCCGAAAGTGCTCCTTTACAGCAGTGCAGAGGCGTGTCACAGCCCTGGGCATCTTGTCTGCGGGGCACGGGGATGCTTCCTTAGCACCAAGAATAGTGCATCTCCTAAGAGCCAGCTTACTTTGTTCCTGCGGACAACACCAGTTAAAAACTTCATGTTCCCTAGTGATATTAACTTCCCAAAAGTTTAAATCAAATTTGTCACCTGCAGAGTGCAAAGGACTTAAGGACAATCATTTGTAGTTCAAATCGCCTCCTCATTTCATTTCCTATTGCTGCCCATGGTGTTCCTCTCCCTGATCTTTCTTACTTAAGTTAACTTACCTTACCTTGCTGATGAGTATGTTTTTGTAAGTCATCTTAAATGTTTCAGAGAATCAAGTAGCTGCACAAAAACAAACTTACTGCGGTGTAGGGACCGTACATTCTGGCTTGCTCACATTCACTAATAAGCTAAGCAGGTTCCAGGAAACCAAATAGAGTCTCAGATAGGCAGTTTTCTATTATTTATTTATGAAATGCTTATAATTCTCCATGTGGTATCATACCATCAATTCACCTGACTCTTGACTATGATAGTTCAGCCGACGGCATAAAGGAGAAAGGGGGACCTGGGGGCTTGTGGAAAGCCGGGATTCATGGGAAAGTTGTGGAAGCCTGCAGGCCAGGAGCCACAAATACAGGAGAATAACCATGCGGAGGCTTCAGAGAGGAGGCTGTCTAGAACAGCATCTTATTTATGGCTAGCTGGTTTCACCCTGATTCTTCAGAGAATCACTACATATCTTTAGTGAATCGTAAGAAAATCACTAAGCACCTTAAATAAATTCCTGTTGCTGGTCACTGGAGGATGCTAAATAGAGTTGTCCATGTGTGTAGCTCTTTATGGCAACTCAACACCTACAATATGGAACATGTCCCTCTCTCTTTTGATTTGGTTTCATACTCAAAGCCCATTGCATTAGCTGGGCCCTCAGCACCTCACAATGTGTCATCTGTTGGCCTCAAAGAGCAGTTGTGTTTCTTCTACTTCAGTTCAAGGTACTTTGGGTTTTGCTCAAGCTTCTTCTGCTAAAATGAATTCTACTTACCCTACATACTATATATTTTAAGTCAGAAATCATTCCCAAAATTTTGTTAAACTTAGTGAAAACCATATTATAACACTTCAATTTTTCAATTTGAAGAAGACATAAATGTTTTGCAACAATAGATTAACCTAAAATAAAATGGACATCAGTGGATATCATTCCAAATG